ACAACAACAACAACAACAACAACAACAACAACAGCAACAGCAACAGCAACAGCAACAGCAACAGCAACTGCAACTGCAACTGCAACTGCAACTGCAACTGCAACTACAACTACAACTACAACTACAACTACAACTACTACAACAACAACAAGAACAACAACACCAACATCAGCAACAGCAACAGCAACAGCAAGAGCAACAGCAACATCAACAGCAACAACTGCAGCTACAGCTACAGCTGCAGTTACAAAAACAGCAACAACAACAGCAACAACAGCAGCAGCAGCAACAGCAACAGCAACAGCAACAGCAACACCAACAACATCAACAACATCAACAACATCAACAACAACAACAACAACAACAACAACAACAACAACAACAACAACAACAACAACAACAACAGCAACAGCAACAACAAGAACAACAACAACAACAAAAAAAAACAAAGACAATAACAAAAACAACAAACACAAAAACAAACACAAACACAGCCAACAACCAACAACCAACAGCCAACAACCAATCAACAACCAACAACAAACAACAAGCAAGCAAACAAGCAAACAAAAAAGGAAGAAAAAAGGGGAAACAATACAAAACAACCAAATAATCAATGCAAAAACAAACAACAAACACAACAACAACAACATCAACATCAACAACAACACAACATCAACAACAACAACAACAACAACAACAACAACAACAACAACAACAACAACAACAGCAGCAGCAGCAACAACACCAACAACAACAACAACAACAACAACAACAACAACAACAACAACACAAGCAAACAAGCAAGCAAACAAACAATCAAACAAGCAAGCAACCAATCAATCAAACAACCCCAAACAACAAACAAGCAACAAACATCAAACACCAAACAACAAACAATGAACAACAAACAACAACAAACAAACAACAAACATCAAACACCACACATCAATCAACACACAACAATAAGCAAACAAACAACACTCAGCAACCAACAACCAACAACTGTCACACCAACAACTAACAACCAACAACCCACAACCCACAACCCACAAGCAGCGACAGCAACAGCAACAACAGCAACACCAGCAGCAACAACAACAACAGCAGCAGCAACAACAACAACAACAACGGAACAAACAGTCGGCAACAATCTAACTACGTTGCTAGCTAACTTTCAGCAGCAGCAGCTATAGCCACAACAACAGCCCCAGCCACGACAACAACCTCAGCTCAGCAACGGCCACAACCACAAACACATCACCAGCATTCGCAACTACAATCACTACACTACACAACCAAATGCACAAGCATCAACAGCATCACTCAAGCGATCGAACGCAAGCAAAAGGACGCAAAAGCGAGCAACAACAAGCAAAAGCCAGCAAGCAAAAGCAATCCAGCAGGAACGAGCAAGCAAGCAATCAACCAGACAAGCAGACAAACAAACGAATGAGCAAGCAAACAAACAAGCAAACAAGCAAACAGAGAAAGAGGAAAGAAAGAAGCAAACCAGCAGACCAACAAATACACGCGCACGAGCCCGCCACCAGCCAAAGCATTCTTGACCCGGAGGTTTGAAACACTCCCGTGTGGACAGGGTGGTGAGCTGTGTGCGACTGGTTTTGTGCCTTCAGTGTCACAGTTTGCTTTTGGCTGACCGAGAAAGATATGTTTATCGCTTGTGCCCAAAATTACAACTCAAGATGCTTGTGAGCCTGACTGCTGCGCCATGAATCGGTCCTTGGGCAGTAAATTTGGCTTTTGTTTGGCGGGGTCTTGTTTACTTTGACCCGTTCCTGGCACATAATTGGAGTTGGGTTTCCGGTTGATCAAGAACCAGCCCGTCAAGTGACCCCACCAAGCCCCCAGGCCAAACACCCCGAGCCAACCCCCTCAACCAAATCCCAACCGGCCAAGCCAAAGACATGCAAAAAGCATTTCTTCCAGGCAGCAGTTAAGCTGGTAGCCGACGAGCTGTGGCCCCGGTGCCCGGCTATGGGCCACCCGCTGGAGCGCTTTGCTGGCGTCGACGGGGGCGCCCTCTGCGAATGCTGCGGCGCCAATGAGATCGGCTCGACAGGCGCGAAGTATGCGAGGGACATTTTTTGGGGCACATGGTTGTTGTTGGGAAGCATTTTTCGTTTTGGCTTACTGTGGTTTAGCGGGAAATCCCCACTTAACTGCCAAAATGTATTGTTTTGCTCCCCTTCCAACATCAACCAAGGGTAGATCGACAACCAAATGGATTCCTATGAAAGGAGCCAGCAAGCCGCTTCGACCACGGCGCATGTGTTTGTGCGCAGTTTGGTGGCCCCGTGGCTTGCTACGACGGTGCGGCCACGGCGCATGTGGAATGATTATCTCAAGAGGGCGCGCGCATCTGAACGAGCGCAACCCTTGGACCCGAAGGCAGACGCCACCGTTGCGCGCTGCACACACGAGAAGGTATGGGCAGCCGTCTCAAACCCAACTTGAAACCTGCATATGAAGGGTATGCGCCACACACGGCTACACAGCAGGTTGCGGCGTGCGTTTGAGTGCTGCGCGCGCCGCCAACAAGGAATCTTCGACCCGGTGCCGAAATGAACAGCTGCGTCTGGTGCGCGCGCGTGGACGCATGTGCGCACATGTGGATGTTTGCGTACGTGGCTGTAGTTATGCGGGTGTGTGCCTGTGTATCTGTGTGTGCGTGTGTGCTTGTGTGCCTTTGTGTGTTGGCGTGTTTGTGTGTTTGTTTGTTTGTTTGTTTGTTTGTTTGTTTGTTTGCTTGTTTGTTGTTTGTTTGTTTGTTTGGTTGGTTGGTTACTTGTTTGTTTGTTTGTTTGTTTGTTTGTTGTTGTTTTTGTTTTGTTTGTTTGTGTTGTTTGTTTGTGTTATTTATTTGTGGTGTTTGTTTGTTTGTTTGTTTGCGTGGTTGCGTGGTTGCGTGGTTGCGTGTTTGTGTGTGTGTGTGCGCGTGTGTGCGTGTGTGCGTGTGTGCGTGTGTGCGTGTGCGCGTGTGCGCGTGTGCGCGCGTGCGCGTGTGCGCGTGTGCGCGTGCGCGTGTGCGCGTGTGCGCGTGTGCGCGTGTGCGCGAGTGCGCGTGTGCGCGTGTGCGCGTGCGCGCGTGTGCGCGTGCGCGCGTTTGCGTGTGTGCCGTGCGCCGTGTGCGGCGCGCTGTGCGCGGTGTGCGGTGTGCAGTGCGCGGTGCGCGGTGTGCGGTGTGCGGTGTGCGGTGCGCGGTGCGCGGTGTGCGTGTGCGTGTGCGTGTGCGTGTGCGTGTGCGTGCGCGTGCGCGTGCGCGTGCGCGTGTGCGTGTGCGTGTGCGTGTGCGTGTGCGTGTGGGTGTGGGTGTGGGTGTGGGGGTGTGGGTGTGTGTGTGTGTATATTTGTGTGTTTGTGCGTGTGCTTGTGCGTGTGTCTGTTTCTGTGTTTGTGTCTGTGTCTGTGTCTGTGTCTGTGTCTGTGTGTTGTCTGTTGTCTGTTGTCTGTTGTCTGTTGTGTGTATGTTTGAGTGTCTGTGTCTGTGTTGGTCTTTCTGTTTTTGTGTGTACGCTTGTGCGCGTGTGTCTGTGTAGCGTTTGTGTGTGTGTGTGCTGCGTGCTGTGTGCTGTATCTTGTGTTGTGGGTTATGGGTTGTGTGGTGTGTCTTGTGTCTTGTGTCTTGTGTCTTGTGTCTTGTGTCTTGTGTCTTGTGTGTTTGTGTGTTTGTGTGTGTGTTGTGTCTTGTGTGTTTGTGTGTGGGTGTTGTGTTTTGTGTGTTTGAGTTTTTGTGTGTTTGTGGGTTTTTTGTGTATGTGTGTGTTTGTGTGTTGTGTTGTGTTTGAGTGTTGTGTGTGTGTGTGCATGTGTTTGTGTGTGTGTGTTGTGGGTTGTGTGTTGTGTGGTGTATTGTGCGGTGTGTGTGTGTGTGTGGGCTGTGTGTTGTGTTTGCGTTGCGTGTTCTGTGTTGGGTGTTTTTGTGTGTAGGGTTGTGCGTTTGTGTTTGTGTTAGCGTTTCGTTTGTGTGTGTGTGCTGTGTCAGTGTGCTGCGTGCTGTGTCAGTGTGCTGTGTTCTGTGTTGTGGGTTGTGTCTTGTGTGTGTGTGCGTTGTGTGTTTTGTGCATGTGTTGTGTGTCTTGTGTGTGTGCTTTGTGTATGTGTTGTGTGAATGTGTTGTGTGTGTGTGTTGTGTGTTGTGTGTAGGCATGTGTTTGTGGGGCATGTGTGTGTTCACGCGTTTCCTCCAGTTTGAGATTCGCCAAGTCGTTGGGAGGGTGGTTCATGTGCTTATGACCGAGGTCCTTATTTTCTGACGTGCAGACGCTGCCACTTCCAGCTTTGCTATGCCTGCGCCCGGAAAGCGCTGTGTGCCCTGTTGAACGACGCCTGCGAGCCACTAGCCCTCGGCGACAGCAGCGAGCTGGGCGCTGACGTAGTAAGGAAATGCTTGGCCGAGCGCGCGGAGCAGAAACAGCCGGGGTGTGGTGGTGTGGTTTAGCACTTTTTGCAGCCCAAAAGCGAACAGGGGCGTCTTCTGTGTTTGTTGCTTGGACCCCTCTTGGGAGGCTTCCTTTGTAGTTGTCACGCATGTTGCCCATGTGCAATGATTGATTTGGGGAAGCAAACGGGCCAGTGGTGGAAAGGAGAGAGAGAGAGAGAGAGAGAGAGAGAGCGAGGGAGCCGCAAAGTCAGGGCAACATGAGCAGAAACCATATTCTATGGCCAAAGTGAAGGCAGCGCGATTTTGGATGATGGGCAGGCATGCAGTGCACATCACGTTTTCCGAACTTGACCTTTATTGGCTGCATTGAGCAATCTTGCCAAATCAATCAATCCTCCTAATAATCAAGAACATCCTTGCGCCCAAACTCAAGAATGCATTTATAACGTTAGTCCTCTTGGGATGTTTTTGGTTGTGGTGGATCTTTGGCCTTTGCCCCAACACTTTGCTCTCTTTTCCACAAAAAGCATCGAAAGCGGCAGTTCGCAAGTAACGACTTTACAGCACATGTGTTCAGAATTGTTGATTGTTCGATATGTGCTCGGTATCAGCGTAGTCCACTTGGGCACTGATTGTTTATTGGTTGAGTATTGGTTTGGTGCTATTTTAATGTTGGCCATGCCGGGGGACCGAATACAACTTATACTGATGAAGACTCATAGCCCTCAGGACCCACCCAAAGGCCCGATTTCTGAGGTATCACTGGAGGTATGTTTACACCGAAACATGCTGGGGCACCGGCCCTTGTTGAGATGCATTGAAAGCAAGCAAGGGGAGCTTGGCAGAATGCCGCGCTTGGTTCCTGGCTAGCGGGTAGCAGAGGGTCCAAGATCTGTCTCTTTCGCGGCACCTAAGGATAAACCCGGGCAGTAGTTCTTCTGACTTGAACGGGAGTTCTACCTGCTTTCTCAGAACACGCAGGCGTGCGAGGTCCGTGTGGGTATTTGATCAGCACAGCCATGCGAGCCATGGTCAAAACACGAGGTTGCCTGCGCTGAGTGGGGTCATCCACCACTGGTCTTTGGGTTTTTGACCATGACAATGAGGATCCCTATTCATCTATGTAGGCGCTGGCACAGGGACCCTTGGGGACCATGGGCTTCTTCCTTCCGTAAACTTTGGGCCCCCTCTGCACTCAGTGCAGCAATTGTCGCCTCCCTTTGGCGGTGGCTCCAGAGCCCCAATTTTCGGTGAAGCCCGATGCCTACGTCAGACATGGTAGCTTTGCTAGCCTTCTCACCTTGTTCTTCCTCCAGTGCGCGAAGACTAAACAGCACAGGCCTTGCCACCCTCCAGCCATTGACGCTGACTGCAAACAACTCTCTGCCCGGCCAGGTCCTGTTGCGTCCTTGCCCTCTGCTCAGATCTGCTCGGGAAGCTGGGGGGGAGATGTCCGACACAATGGAAAACCCTGACCACGTGCTTGTACGTACTCGCACATTGCATTTATAATGCTTATGGATGTAAGGATGTGTTTGATCGTTCAGCTCTCCCAAGACATAAAGCGAGGAGCGGGCTGTTGAGTTACATTTACTACATCCTGCTCAATGCTGCTTCCGGGCTCGTCTCTCTCAGCTCCTCAGAGTGCAAAGGTCCAATATGTGAACTTATTGTATGAGCCTGGTGCTATTGGCCCGCAACTTGCCCATCCATGATGTAATATAGTTATGGATCATGTTGTGGCAGTTTGATTAGTTGCTGCCTGGTGCCAACATGTGTTGATGTAAAGATGCGGCCAAACTGTGGGCCACATCGATCAACCTGCTTCGCAATGCCTCCGATGAAATCACACGGGAAGGACACATGGACATCTCATGGTTCTTTCGATTCTTATCCCTGAGTCGCGCAGTACATGTGTCTGAATTGACGACCTCGCCTTCGATGCAAGGTGGTAGCATTTGCGAGGTTGCTTCCTTGCTCAAATTCATCAATCATTTCCATCGGTCCTTCCAATGGGCAAGCTGTGGATATATATATATATATATTTGTTTAACCTGCTATTGCTTGGGACCAAGTGGTCTCGTTGGTGTTGATGTCCACACATGTGTTTGCTTTGGATGGTTCACTTTCCTCAGCTGGACCGTGTCATTCAACAAAACAAGCCCTGGCAGCAGGAGGAAGTCGTATTTTTTTTCCACATGTTTCGCAGCCAGCTTTGAGTGCTGCCTCGCTGCTGCTTCGGTGTTATAAGGAGCCAAATAGAATACACACACTGTCACACTATTCCCTCGTGATCAAGTTCAACCACAAACCCTTTTGAAGTACCCACAACCACCTACTACTAGGTAACTTATTTATTGCACATGCTTTCTTGGCTCATTTTGTTTGAAGAAACCAGACATGTTGCAGGCTCGCATAAACATGCCGTGAGTCCAAGATCACTGAGGCCACTCTCTGCACCTGTGGTGGCTCACGGAGCCCGACACTCTGCCGGCCGGTCCCTGTAATTTGGCTTCTGCACCAGGACGCAAGCGGCAAACTAAGGGAAACTGAGGGTATCGTAAAAGAGGGCTCAATTCTTGGGTACGACTCCTCAATTCAGGATAGGCGTGTGCAGATCCGAGGCTCGTTTGGCGTGGGGAAATGGATCGATCTTCTCAAAGCAGCGGATTACAGTTTTGGGACTGGCCTCTCCTTGGTGAGAAGTGAGGAAGCCACTAGGCCATGGGCTCGAAGCATGGAACATGACAAATAGAAATCTACAGGAGGATGTCACGTGAATCAGGGCCCCTTCTACTGCAGCGCCTCAGTCGCTTGTTTGTGGAGGGGCACCTGGCTTTGTGACCAAAACAGAAACAGGAAAAATCAGAGAGAGAGAGAGAGATGGCTTTTGCATCCAGCAGGTTTGGTCATGGCCCAAATACGTCGGCTTGCCCTGGCCGGGTTACAAGGATTCAGGACGCCATACATGTTTCGGCAATCTGAGCTATGCAAATTTCAGACCGCCGTTTGCAGATCTCCTTCAGAAAATCGTTAGAGAGTTAGGCCTCCCAAGAGCAAGCTGATAGGTGTCATTCATTGGTGTTGGAGGCAGACCGTCAAAATGGAGTTGGCATCGCGTGCTTGCGCTGCCCCGACCTTTCACGCTCTGTTTGGTCAGCCAAAGACTTGAATGATGGCAGCTGGAGGTTGGCGTGCCACGGATCGAATCCTTACCTGGGAACTTTCAAGATCTTTCAAGGGTTCAGGCTGGTTCCTGGAAGGCTTCGCGATCAGGGAGCCCTTCGAGTTTTCCAAACGGCAAAGAACCCGTCAGACCGAATTTGGGAAGCGAGCCATTTGGTGAAGTGACCTGACGAGTGAGTGACACTAGGTTGTTTTTCTGTTTGCAGCCAGGCAGTCATTCTGGAGTGGCTTGCTGTAGTGAAGTCTTTGTCGCATTCAACCTTTCCAGCTATTGCAGGCATTTGCGTGGTGTGTTGAATCTGAGGTCGCGAGTCATGCAGAGAAAGCAAGGGGTCAAATTCAGCCACGGCAGGCAGGACGGTGCCAAATTGGGATGCATGGGGATAGTCATCAGCTCTATGATGATGATAATCATCATGAACGCGCACACACACACACACACACACACACACACACACACACACACACACACACACACACACACACACACACACACACACACACACACACACACACGCACAGCTTACGAACTGCTGTCAAACGTGCTGCTCATATCTATTTCAGATAGGAAGAAGAAGATAGGGGCTCGTCACTGGTTTCTCAAAATCATGACTCACTCATTTTCCCATACAAGCGAGATGACACATTGCAAAGTGGCTCATAGCAAGCTCGAATGTGGACATGTTCCTTGAAGCGGTCCGTATCGAAGTCAAAGCGGTTTTCTGGGCCCGCATCCACTTGACTCTGGAGAATTTGTGGCGCCATCACTCAATTTCCCCGAAACCGAGGGAGGCCAGAGGATCTCCATGGGGAAACATTTGTCTCATGGTTGGAGGATGGCTGGTTTCATAGCGTCAGCCTTCGATTCTTGGGGAGGCCTGGCTTCATGGGGCTGCGACGAGACATTTGCTAAACATGTCTTTCATTTGAAGGTTCACTACATGGACCAGAATCAACCATACGATGATTGGTTCTCAGCCAGTGGATGATTCAATGATGCCCTGCGCAGCCTATATGTTTGCAAGCATTGAACACAAGCTTCGTCCGTGACTCGGACAGCTACACAGTTTCAGCTGCTCAACTGGCCTCTTCACCGTACGCACACTGGAGAGCAAAGGTCAATACACCGTTGCTGCCCTGTCTAAGTATGCATTTGACAAGCGAGCGAGCTTGGTAACCAGTTGTATGGCTTGATCAGAAAGAGGTGCACGTACCAGTTGTTCTGAGAAGAGTCATTTGGAGGTTTGCCTTCTGGTTTTCCTTCAAACCAACCCCAAAAGGGTACAATCAACAGCCACATACATATGTACCAACCCCAAGAAGGTACCTTCAAAAGAAACATATCTCCATAAGCCAGAGAGTCGTAAGGCTTCCGCTCCGGAGGTTTAAGGATTCTTTTCGAGGGAAGTGGCTGAAGTCGACCAACGCCATTTGGCTGCGGGCAACTTGCAGCTTCCCGTCTTCTTCCACCGATGCGTTGCTATTCTTATCTCGAGTGCTTTGGGTGCTGAAGCCCCTTCTCGGATACTGGTGGGGATGGAGTCCAGGAGCGATCTTTGACTTGAGAAGGCCTATGCTGAGAGGTACTTACTTCTCCTCCCCGAAACTGCTCCCTAGTAAGTGGTGTGAAGCACCCGGAGATTGCAGTTCCCAGGAAGGCGGTGACAATTCTCCCCCGAAGGGAGAAGGTTGTCATTCGCAAATGCGAAGGCCCTCAAACTGCTTGGCTTCCTTTTGGTGTCCTTTAAATAGGCTCAAGAGGACCCTCCAAAACAAGTCATTCCATATGCAGTGTTTGCACTGAAAACGTATCAACCCGCCGGATCTGCGCCGAGTCTGCAGGTCAAGGACAATTTTGTGAACTCCGTGGTGCAGAAGTGCGGCCCTGCCGTCGTACGCGTGCAGACCGAGCAGAAGGCGGGAGGTGGTGGGGTGAGTTGGTTGGAAAAAGGGTCTACAAACCTGTAGAACCATGTTGGAACCAAAGTCAATGGGTTTGGTGCATTGGCGTCCAAGTGAGGGAGGCTCGCCCCACGCGCAGCAAATAGAAAAGCCCCTTACTTCGCAATGATGACTGTGGTTCCACATGTTCCACTGGATTTCACGCTGGGCGTGTGCCTGTTTCTAGCGGCTGCCATTGGCTTTGAACCTTGGCAGCTGCCAGCCGACTAAAAGAAGCGCCAAAGAGCCATGTCAGGTGCAGCATTTGGCTGCCCCCCCCCCAATTCGTTAGAAAGACAAGGCAGGCAGTGTATGTTGCTCTTCGGATTCCAAGATCCCCAAAAGCTTGTGGTTTTCCCTTTGGTGTTTCCCTTCAAAACCGAAGGAGAGGTACAAGCGCCCTGCCTGGTCGTCCTTCGTCCCCTCTCAGGTTGAGATCCCGGCCTTGGGCAACGCGGAGATTTTCTC